AAGTGAAAAAGACTTAACAGCTTACTGATGAAGATCAAAGACTACAGCCTTTGGTAGGGATTACACCTCAGCATCAAGAAAACAAAACTCCTCACAACTGGACCAACAAGCAACATCATGATAAATGGAGAAATGATTAAAGTTGTCAAGGATTTCATTTTACTTGGATCTACTATTAATGCCCACAGAAGCAGCAGTCAAGAAATCAAATCTGCATTGGGCAAATCTGATGCAAAAGACCTCTTCAAAGTGATAAGAACAAAGATGTCACTTTGAAAACTAAGCTATCAGTGGTATTTTCAATAGCCTCACAAGCATGTAAGAGCTGGGCAATGAATAAGGAAGACTGAAGAACTGATGCACTTGAACTGCAGTGTCAGTGAAAAATATCAACAGCCATCTATCAAGAATGGACCATGGACTGCTGTAAGAAGAAATAAATCTGACTTGAAGAAGTACAGTGGGCATGCTCCTTAGAAGTGAGAATGACCAGACTTTGTCTCTCCCACTTTGGTCATGTTGTCAGAACCGACCAGTTTCTACAGAAGAATGCCACGCCAGGTGAAGTGGAGGGTCAGTGAAAAAAGGAAAAACCCTCAACAGCATGAAGTGACAAGTGGCTGTGACCATGGCCTCGAGCACAGCAACGACTGTGAGTATGGCGCCAGGCCAGGTAGCGTTTTGTCTGTTGTATGTGGGGTCACTATGTCCCGACTTGATGGCATCTAACCACAACAACAAAATTGTTTCATCAGGGTCATTTCTGTTTCAATTTTACCACAATGATCTGAATAACTGGTCAGTATAGCTTTGACTGCTAACCAGAAGGCTTAGAGTTCAAACCCACGAGCCACTCCTCAGAAGGAAGGTTGGGCAATCTACTTCCATAGTGACACAGCCTCAGAAACCCAAGGAAGGGCTGCTATAAGGCAGATCCAACTCCATGGCAGTGGTTGTGATCTTGCATATTGGAAATTTTCTTTTGTGGCCATAATTTTTACCAAGCCCAATTTCATACAATTTGCAAATTCAATTCTGTCAAAGATTTCTCTTGACTTGAGGCTGAAAATCAATTTTTTTGTGTGTTGATCACCACCATGAACTCTATTTTTCCTTGGGTCAATTTTTGCAGCTTTCAGTGTTACTAAGAGGAATGGATTGCTTTGGCAATTACAGTATATTTTGCCATTTACAGTTTGGACATTAGTAACAATTAAGATAGATATATAAAAAACAAACAATGACATCTCATCATACTTGAATTTAACTTATGCAAATTCAACTACATGGGCTTAGCAAAAAGAAAGAGAAATAATTTTATGAAGTGAAGGTAGATCCATTTCCAGCTATGACTTATCCTCCTACCTTAAACAACTAGCAAAGTAGATAAAACAATGAAACAATGGTTTTCAGATACCAGGCAATGGGCCCAATGCAGTGTTCCAGAGGAGAGCAAAAACAATGAGGTTAGTCCTACCATTGCCTGGCTTATGACAGCCCCAAGCTGCAGCGCAGGGAGCAAGAATTCAAACTGAGATAGGTGGTCTCCATGAGCTGAGGACACAGAAGTCAAACTCTGGAAAGGCCAAGGTGGCTAGAATTTTCAGAGCCAACTACTGAGGAAGAAGCAGTAGTCAAGTCTTTGACTGACTACTGATATTTACACATGTGTGTGAGGAAACTATCTAAGTAAAGAAAGAACCAACTGAAGGAAGTAGCAAAACAATCTCCAGGCATCACACAGGGCTGAGAACTACACATGTTCCTACTGGAGTGGAAAGACCATCTAATACATAAGGTATCAATTATAGTTCTTAGAAGGTTACTGATTTAGTACCACAACTGAAACCCACTGCCACTGAGTTGATTCAGGTTCATAGGTAGACTGCCCAACCTTCCTTCTGAGGAGTGCCTTTAGTAGTAGAGGCTACATCAGCCCCCAACAAAAGGCTGCCTTAGACTCAACGCTAGCAAAACTTTGAAGGATCAAACTAATTCCAAGTAATTTAGCTGTGCCCCAGAACAAAGCCCAATAAACTTTAATGAAAAAAATAGTAATAAATAAAACAAACAGCATATAAAAATGCAAGTCAAAATTTGTGGCATATACCAAAATGTTACCCAGTATGCAAAGCAGCAGGAAAATATGATCCAGAAGGAGAAAAAAATAAAAGTCAACAGAAAGCGATGCCAAAATGAAAAGGACAATAGGATCAGCAGATAAGGAAGTTAAAATAGCTTTTCTAAATATACTCTACATGCTTAAGAAAGCAGAAAGCACGATCGTGACAAGAAAGAAACGCAACATATCAGGAATGGCCCGAGTCAAACTTCTGGGACAAACAATATCTGAAAAGAAAAATACACTGGATGGAATTAACAGCAAAGTAGATACTATCAAGTGATTTAGCATACATGTACCTACAGCTGACCAGAAGAAGAGGAGAGAGAAATAACAGAGAAAATATTTGCTTAATGACTGTGATAGTTGGAGCTGTGTGTCAACTTGGCTGGACCACAATTCTGTGTGGTTTAAGCAGTTGTGATGTGGGTTGTTCCCATGATGGGATCAGATGTGTATGTTCTGAGCAGCCAATCTGTTGAAAGGGAGTTTCCCTAGGGGTGTGGCCTGCTTCCAGTATATTTATGGACATTCTGGGAAAGAGACACTCTTCTGTGAATCAGGATCCTGTTGTGCTGCCTACAACAGTCCGTGAGCAAACAATCCACCATTCGGCCTGGAGATCTTGGATTCATCATTCGTTGGAGTCAACAGCCAGTATACTGCCTGCCAACCTTGAGCTCCTCAGCCCCTACAGCTGTGTGAGTTGGGAAAAGCCTCCAGCTTGACATTTGATCCAAGATCTTGGGACTTGCCAGCTTTTATAAGAGTGTAAGCCATTTTCCTAAGATAAATTCCTTTCTCTCTCTCTCTCTCTATATATATAATCTTTACTGGTTTTGCTTCTCTAGAGAACCTAGTCTAACACAATGACCAAAATTTTTGAGCTCTGATACAAACTATAAATCCAAAACCCCAAGAGGCTCAACAAACCCCAATCAGAATAAAATGGGAAAAAAAACTA